TGACAATATCATTTTTACTTACTTTAAATATTTCAAATAAAAATCAATGATGATAATTTTATTGCTAAGATTTAGACCAGACTTGAGCCTAGACCAGATTTAAAAAATGGATGTCTGATTAGTTGATCATTTAAAAGAGTTCAAACAGAATAAAAAAATTTATATTTCATTGAATCCTAGTTTACTATTGTTCTCTAAAATTTCATTCGAACATTTAAATAGAAAATGAAACAAAAGCAGAGATGATTTGCTGATGTTGTTCACCTGTCCAGCACCAACGAAATTTATTTCCCCCATAAAAAAAAAAAATCATTTTTTTATTATTTCAAAATTTTAGATTGCATTAAAGTCTGCTATTCATTAGCTTTCAACAAGTATTCATTCCATAGATAATTAAAATGCAAAAAGTTTTCACAACAAATAATATTCAAATATTATGAACAATATCCAGTTTTTTCGTTATCAATGGGAATAATTTGTAGGGTTAAAATAGTTAGTGTTGATGTTATACAGAGGATAAGGTAAAGAAAAATACAGTCCCCATGAAAAGAGGAGCAGAGAGAATTGCCAAGGGGTTATAACATAATTGTATTAGTCGTAGGCTGCAGTAGGGAAGCATGAAATTAATGCCTTTGGCTTATCAGTGGCCTGACACTTTGGAGCTAAAAGTCCCTAGGTCAGTGGCGTAACTACACCAAGATTCACTAGGGGAAGAAATGAATCCCACTTAAAGTGGGATATGTATAAGTGGTAGTCAACTATAAGGAAGGCAAAGCTGTAACACTATTACTAACTGCTAATGAGAGCCCTATTAGGAAGGACGATGAGGATTTTTCTGTCATGCTCAACAACTACGATCGGCCTGCATTGACCATGTAAATTACATTCATTAAGAAATCGTGTGCGACTTTTTTACAAATATGACTTTTTTTCTCTTCATATCGGATGGACGTGAAAAATCTTGTGATTATTATACATTCATATAATTAAAGGAAATAAAATATTTTCTTACAAATAAAAGGATTTCCGTACATGGTAATATACCATCTTCTTCACTTTTAATAAATAGTATAGTTAATTATGGTGAAATAAACTCGTCAGATGTCAGTTAATTAATGGTGTAGTAAAATAAATGATGATTATTATAATAATTGAACATTTAATAGTATTGTAAAAATTACTCAGCTCAGGATCTATGCTTACTTCACCAGCTATAACATTGATATATGAATTTCATTAGAGTTAAAAATATACTTTGGAGTGAATATTCATTAAGAATTGGTGAATTTTTATCAGCCTCTAAGTCATACGTATGATAAAAATTTTCCATGACTTGGGTAATAATTGTTTTCAAGAAACTTCTGATGAATATCCAACAAAATAAAGCTGCAAATGCTTTTTCTGAACTTTGCTACAAATCTTGAGGTATTGAACTTTTGAGACTTTCAATATCTTTGTTAGCTAGCATTGTTAATCTCAAAGTATCACACGGAAGAATAATGTTATATATTAGATTGAATTAATAACAATAAGAGTATTCCATAATTTTTACAAGGCAAAACATCCCACGGTAACCATTTGGAAGATAATATCCTGTTAAAAAAGTCGATGACAACAATGGAAGACCCCCGACCTCAAGCTATTGATAAAGAAGTCGGAGAATAAGATGGTGGGTAAGATATGCCTTGAGTTCCGATCACCTCGTTGGTGCTGGGGTATCTCGGCCAATCTCGTAAGTCGATAGTTCAATCTCAGCAATTCCGCCCACAGATGCATGGCGCGAACATTCTTCCCTTGTAGATACGTATTATAATGTTGAGGTTTGCAATAGAACACATGAAATCTAGCACCCTTCGTCTTACGATTCGTGTCCTGGTCGTCATCTTCGCCAGCATAAAACATGCGACGGGGAAAGTAAAATAAAACGAATCTGTCACGCACACTCGGAGACTTGTGGGCTCTATCTAACAGTCAGAGAGAAATCGCCGACCCCGTATTTTCTTATTGCTGATGCTCTTCCTTTTGCCAACGTTGCCACAGCCGTTGTGAATTATTTTGCCTCAAGAATGCTACGTCACATGTGACGATCTAAGCCATATCGAATTGTGAATATTTTTCGTCTTTCTATCACTGACAATTCAACCCTCTAAACGAGAGATCACCTCGTATCTGATAATAAAACATGACATCATGAAAAGATACATCTCTCTTATTTCTAACAAAAAAATATATCCAGAAAGAAATTTAATTGATTTAATTTATTATTACATTTTGATAATAAACTATGAATATTTTTTTACAAGTTTCAGTGGAAGGGAATTGAATGATCAAAGTAAAAGAATATATACTCGCAAGATTCCTGATAATATTTAAGAATTCAAGGAATTATGGAGGCTCTTTATTTCGCGTGTAAATTTTAAGACGCTGAAGACAGACTAATACTTTCAAATTGTTCATTCGAGCAAAAGACATAGTAAGAGGGTGAAGGGAATGAATTCCAAGGCTCGAGAAAGAAGCACAGCCTCAAAAAAAAAATACCTAAAATAGGTATGTATAAATATGCATCAAGTGAACACTGTGGTGCACATCACAAATTTACGAGTATCTCTCTCCAATTAACGACCTGATTTGCATCCCAACGCAAATAGTTTTGTTGATGCGAATGAACCCTCAACCCTTCGATACATAAATCTGTATCAAGTGCTTGAAAAAAGGCCCGTCAACTTTCTACATAAATACCAACACTTTTCAGCAATCATCTAAACTCCTTTTTTTCATTGATTTTTAACATGAAACAAGAAATATGAATTGAAAAAAAAAAAATTATTCAATAAAGGGAGGAAAGTGGAGACTTTATTGTCACAATTGTCTTCGAACAATGATGTATGTACATTTCAATAAACATTATAACCCATAAGCAAGTCACTGAAAGCATTCAAAGAAGCATGCGCTCGACCGAGATGAATTTTACCATGTGGATTAAAGTGGAGCGAATAATAATAAAATGAAAAAAAAAATCACGAGAGGGTGGACACACGATTCGGCCCCCCGCAGTTTGACTAACAATGCTAGATAGAGAGTTAGCTAGCCGCAAATACCACCGAGGGGTTGCGGAAATAGCGAGAAGAGAGTGAGAAGGAAAGTATAGAGTCAGGCAAGAGTCGGGTTTGCAGATAACCAAACCCCGACGGGTCCCTCCGTCCTGTTACGGACTACCACCCTCGTTGCTCACTGCCAGTGGCGTCGACACGCGTTTCTACATGGTTGTCATCCCTTCGCTAGAGAGCTACACGACGACTGCACCAATAGTCATCTTGTGTATTCAACGGTACACGGCATGACTTTTTAGCTTTATTGCAGATGTCATTTTTTTCTTATTGAAATCATTGAATTTTTCTTAGAATAAACTTATTTATAAAATTATCAGAAAAATGACTGCTGTAAATTTGCAGTTATCAAATTAATTTAATAAAGAATTAAAATAAAAGAAATATTTGTAAAAACTTGTTTAATAATTTTTAAATTAAAAACATTAATATAATTTAGGTAGAGAATGAAAAGAACTGCAATTATCATGAGGAAATTCGAGATTAATTATAGAAATTTGTCTTGATATTTATTGAAATAAACTGAATCATCAATTAATAGTTCTGAGAGGAGCTGGACATCAGTGTAATACTTGGAATAGATGACTTGAGATATTATTATTATTATTTCAAAACTATTGATGTCAGAGAACAACAAACACATAGGAAAAAAATTAAGTATCATTCTTTCACTCACATATCCACATCCAGCCCAACAAAATCTATCGTAATCATCAACATCTTTCAGCATATTTTCAAAGATCATGAATCTTCAATTTTATAAATCATGTATATGATCTTCAATCTATCTATTTGCAATGCGTACGATCAAAGAATTTCAATGGTACATTTGTTTATTTATTATCTCGAAGATATGTAAGAAATTAAATATCAGTTACATTAAATCTTGCGAACCAGTGATATTTTAATGTCCACCAACGTTTCAGGGATACATTTGCAATGTATTACAAAGGTATGCATACCAATAAAGCGAGTTTTCTACTGAGTGTAGTAGAGAAAGCCACTTGGATGCGATTGGATCAGTTTGTCTCAGTCAAAGAAGGTTATAATATGCTTTTGTTGATGCATTAAGTCTTTAATGTCTATTAAATTATTATCAATGCAGTTTACATCTGAATCAAATCATTTTTTAAAAAATAAAAACTAGATTGAAGGAAGCACTTGGGGGTTATTCGTTTAGCCGTGGCGGTTAGTATGTGATCGCAGAGAGGGTAGAAAGCAGATCGGTTAATGGAGATAGCCTTGGAAGCTCCGAGAAAGCCAGCCTGGACAGGACGTAACTGTCATCGGAGCAGTGTGAGGGAGATGGATAGATGGATAGTTAGATAGAGGGTGAGAGCATTGTCTACAACAAGCATCTAACACGGGAACCGAATCACATTCTATTGTTGTATCTGCTGCAACATTTCCATAGTTATATACTATGAGGATTTCAGCGGAATCGTCTCGTCTCTTGTATCACTTGAGCTACATGTATGTAATCTCATTGGCAACCAAGTCTGCTTGCCGATATCGTCAAGCTCAGTAAATTGTATGCCTATGCCTAGTGTTAAGTGCCTATGGTTTGATGTGTAATGAATAGAATAACCTTCAAAGAATAAACTCTAAACAATCAGCACTAGTGGAAATAATTATTAATATTGTTAAATTTCAATTTTACAATATAAATTATTCTAATTATTTAGGAGAATTGTGAAAAATTTTATTTTTTGAACAGAAAGTTTTTTTTATCAAGGTAAATGTCTTTCCTACAATTGTAACGATTCTGGGTGATTATAACTGTTTATGTATGTGGGTTTAGCTCACTTGAAATTCAGAGATTTCAAGTACGAATTTTTTTCTTCTACGACGATAAACATATGTAAAAATCTTTTTAAAACAGTGATGACTCACCTGTCGTGAAGAGGACGATTGCCTTGAGACAACTGTACTCGGCAGAGTCGACATGAAGTGCTTTCAGTTTCTCCACCTGTTCTTGAAATATCCTTATGTGGTCCATAAAAGCAACAACTCGATCTGCAGCCATAGGGGATGCATGAAGACCTGCTGCTGCTAATAAAGGAGCCACGTGAAGTGGCATCGAGCATTGGCTTGCATTCAGCACGAATAGCTCGCTCCAGACTAACCTCAGAAGTGCCACCTGGTCCGTGACTTGGAGATCAGGAAAGAACGGTATATTTCTCGCCCATTCGACAGCGGAAAATAGTAGCCTTGCAGCAAGTTCGCATATGTTGTCTATGCCCATTATATTGTTAGGTTGCATGCACTGACCATATCGCGACGTTGGATAAGGCTCTGCCCGGAGAAGTAAACTGATGTAGGAAGAAAGATACGAATGACCATTCAGACTTGCACAAGCTACTGCGTCACCATTTGACAGACCAAATTGACCTGGTAAACCTGGTAAAGATGGTTGCGATGGTGGTACTCTTCCTCTTTGTACCGCTATAACAAAAATAAAAATGTTCGTTTGATTTATGTTCCATTTCTAATCATCACGTTATTTTAAACATTTTTTTACTATACAATAAACTCAACTAATTTCTTTTTCTTTACATAAATAGGTTGTTACATAATTTAGAATTATTATTAAGCAAATTTAAAAAAATAATATACAGAAATATTTTTTCATGTCAATAACTGTTAACAAGCTTTATCAATTGATCAAGAAGTCAATAAATCCTGAATTAAATGACTTTCCCACACTTTCTAGTTCATCAATTTTCAACCGCGTTTGTCTATTTTCTGCTAAATTCACGTGTCAGTTTATACAAGTGTGTACCCTGCTGATATTATAGAAAGGATTCCGCGAGATTAGTTCAAGAAGGTGAGAGCTGCAAGATCGTAGAACTTGCAAGTCTGAAACGCCAGAGAAGGCGTCCTGCTGTGAACAACCTCCGCCTTCCATTCTACTGCTTAACGTTGGGATTCCGCTGTAGATAAATTTCGCAGTTAACGAACACACTGATGGACAGGTGGACACAAACGTGAGCTCACACGATTTATTTTCCTCATGTCTGGAAAAGTATAATCTCCTGCCTTCCTAACTGCATCTTGTCCATTAAACTAAGCTACAAGGTGCAGTTAAGTTTATGTTAACTTTAATAATTGAAGATGTTGATGATAATCAATGATGGTGTTGAACAGTCGAATATTTTTACATAATCATTCCTATCATGTTAATTATAAAAACAAAGAATATGCTGATATATTTGATGGGTTCAATTTCATTTTTAATCTCTCATAGACTATGATTTTACCTATAATTTCAACTATAGAACTGGTATGCAGATCCAGTACCGTTAGCTCGACGATCCTTGCAAAGCAAACATAAGAAACTACATGAGCAAGTGGATCTTGCTGATCCTTTGCTTTACTATAAAGCTAAGAAAGTATTCATGTAATGATTTAGATTATTTATTTACCTGTTTGTCGAATTTATAGGGTATACTTAGATAACATTCCATGCAATCCTACTTATTTATTTTAAACGTAAGTTATATAATATTCAAAGGCCAACGAAGAACAAGTGTTTTATGATATTTAGTTTTAGAAACTTAAATAATGACCAAAACTACTCTAACTAGCGGTTTAACATTTGATGAATAAAATAAATAGTTGCATTATTGATTTGTATCATTTGTTTTCATCAACATTAAGCTTTGAAGAATCTTAAAGTCCAGTTATTCAGTAATGCATTTGATTCAGGACTTTATATGAATATTTAAATAAAAATAAAACTGAAAATAATGATCAGTAATATATTATAATTTGTTACAAAACGATGGCGAAGGACTAAAAGCTTTAAAGACTCTGGCGAATGCTCACCCGCAGAGTTTACATCGTTTGAAATGCTAATCCGGTCTTCGTTCGACCGGCAATTGCTTTTATTAAGATGAAATTCATTAATATGCCATGACGTATGAGATTGAATGAAAAATAAAACTGTTAAAAATTTTTTATTCATTGCCTTGTGTTAAAAGTGAATCATGATTTGTGATAATTGACAGGTTTTTTATTATTGACTATTGCAGCGCAAAATGATGCTATCAAATGAAATCGAAGGAGGCGCTAGAGTTTCAAATTTCATTTAATATGTATGGCAGGAAGTATCATTATAAAGAGGTAGATCTTAATCCGGTCATCCACCTACAATTTCTCCTATGCTAGTGACCTACATGTTCATCGGGTCATTGGGTTAGCAATGAACTCATGACCTCTGTATGCATCTCCTTTCGAAGAAGCAGCAAATCATGGTTGTGGTGGTATGTAATCCAAGTGGAGATCGGCATGCAATTCAATCATTATCTAGAGTATTTTTGAATTCCATTTAATTATGCTGACTTTAATATTCAATAAAATTCCTTGCAACTTTAATTTTTCTTGATTTCCCAGTTTTTTTTATTTAAATATAAATTGTTGGTTTTCATTATCATGCTGTAAAGTGAAACTTGTTGATGAGATAATGAAATAGTATTGATCGTTTGTTAATAAATGTTGGAAATAATTATGTAAAGATGATCTAAAACTAGCAATAGTTGATGAGAATCAAAATTTCAAATCATTTATTAGAATTATAGTAACCTTGAAAAATGTTTTGACATGAACGCGTGTCCAAATTCATCGTAATGTATGTATCTAACGCAAGACAAAGTAAACAAGTAGACACGAGTAAAGAGAAAATATGAGAAGAATCTACGACGTTAAAAGAACGTGTCCAAGTTGATGCCTAAGCTGAGTCACCTCTTACTTTGCGTCTTTGCAAAGAGCCTGCGATGCGTGTGGTCATACACAAAGTAGACCTGGTCTGGTAGAGTAGATCCAGACAGAAAAGGAGAGAACATAAGAGAAAGAAAGATTATCTTCAGTAGGATCAGTTCATCGACATCGTACTATCATCATTCAACGATTATCATCTAGATTCTTAAATCATGTAATTTTCTTTAGTGATAAAAACTTTGTAACTTATCACTGGTAACTTTGATTAAAATATTGACCATGTCAAGCTAATTAGTTATGTTTTTCTTTCGATGATAATTGGACTCAATTCCCCATAATGTTGATGTGTTAAGGAAAAGTTTGATTTAGAGCGGAATATAAAATAAAATACCCATGTAATTTGTAAGGAAGTTGAATCAGGACGCATGACAATTTCAAATACCCTGGAGTATAGTAATAATCACTGTGGACATTTTGTTCGTCGAAATAATCTTTTGAAGCTGTGAAATAACAGCTATTAATTCGTCATTGGTAATTACCGTTATTGGTAGATACTACATCGAAAGACAACATGAATTGAGTAGATTCATGAACGATATTTTTTAGATAGAATATACTAGATTATGGTAACAACTTTTATAAAGAAATAAATTTTAAATAAAATCTAAAAATCATTAAAAAATTCCAGGAAACCCAAGACCAAATGACTATCAAAAACACATTCGCATTTTGATTGTCAATAAATATGAATTAATATGCAAATGAATTTTTTGCAATAATTCAAGGAATGTTTGCAATTAAATTTCTCGAAAGGATGGTAATAATGGTATAAATAACAAAACATGAAGGGTCCATATTAGATTCTGTATATGTGACCGCAGTTAATGTATAGATTTCAAAAGACGATGGTAGTCTGCCTGGGGTGATGCTTCCGTTTCGAGTCATTATGATAATTTAGCCGGAAAGAAGGTTACACATGGCATCATGCCCGACCTTTCAAGGGAGATGTACCTAGAAGGCATTCTCTTCTTTCTTCCTTAGACGTTCATCATCATCATCATCATTATCATTATGATCGTCATCATCCTCATCTTTGAGAATTTGACGAAGCAGAATAGCTTCTCGAGATGTTTAGTAAAGTACAGATTGCAGGAGCAGAGGAGGAGGAGAAGAAGAAGAAGAAGAAGAGCGAGAAAAAGCAGAGGATCGAATCGGGGGAGAGGTCGGAGGAGGTTACAAGGTTACACGCGTCCAGAAGAGGGCCCGGCGCGGGTCCGCCTAACATTCCCACGGTGTCTGCTCGAGGCGAAGGTGCGCGAGAGGGTGGGGAGGGGCTTGACGAAGAGGGAAAGGGGCCTGAAGGTACCCGAGTGGCGAGAGCGAACGAGGCAAGGCCCTGGCATGTAGCACGCTCTATCCTATACACTATACTACCAAGAGAATCGTGTGGGTAACATTAAGATCGAGAGGAAGAGAGCACTGAAAAAGGGAGGTGAAGGCACGCAACAGCTTATTAATATCCAAGTTTTGTTCTTCAAGCTTTGAAGTTGGCGTTATACACTCCAACATGAGCAAGTGATTTTCCACAGTAAGAATAAGCACTAAAGTCTACTGTTGTTGCTGCTGATGATGATTCAAAGTGGTCAGGAAATTCTTGCTAACTTTCCGATATCATGAGACTAGTCGAGGGGGTAGTAATTACTTGGCAGCATGAAACGGACGACTGAAAAGGAACGATGCAAATAGCAACAGCCGTTAGTCGTAGAGAACTCACCTGCCTTATGCGCGCGAACCAGTTTGGAGAATCGTGCTGGTGCTCCTTTGCCGCAAGGATAGATGTAGGGAAATGAGTAGACTCTATATGTATATGTGGATATTCACTACTAGATCTAAGTGCAAGTGTGTTTGGTATACAAAACCGGCAGAGACTCGATAACGCTGTTTTTCTGGAGCGACATTCCGGATCTCTGGTCACCTACCAAAGGTATATCTACACCATTGCTCAGATGAAGTTGACCCGACCGTGAAATCAAGTGTCTTTTCAGCCATGGGAAGACATCAACTGTGACCAAGACCGTAGGTTTTTGTTATTAGAACGAATTGATTATTCTTGAAGTGATATTGACATGTTCATTTTTTTCTTATTAATTGTCAATTAAACTATCAATTTTTTTTCTACAAGAGCACTAGTTACTCCATTGACAACTGGGCCGGTTTTTTATGGTGTTTCTCAACAGGAAGAGTCAATTATAGTGAATTTATAAGATTACCCAAAGCCATTGCTACTTTTGATGTTGTCTGCATAGACTGATGAATATCAAGCTATATATTCTGAATAAACTCACAGCAATCGCCGTTTTACAACCAAACTTTCACATTCTGATTACACTGGGACTATTTATATTTCTACATCTCTTTCTACAGCCTTCCCAACTGCCATAGATACTCATTCCAACTACTATTGCCAGCATTGAGACGAAGTCAATGCTCATGCTTTGACTACAACGATGACTCTTGGTCACAACTGAAAAGGGGATCCCAAAAGGGAAATCCAATGAAATGTATTTTGGTTACGGGACCTTGTGCTTCTGAATATGCATTCACACATTGTAGTTATAGTTGTGCTGATGTCACGCTCTTTCAACCCCAAATGGTGACCCCAGAATGTTAATGACTACTTTGTATTTTAATGAATAAAAAACGTGGACGATATGACGTCGTGAATCAGATAGAAGTAGACGTAAAAAAAGTATTATTGAAATCGATGCATAAATTAACTGAATTTTATCAGCATTCAGAAATGCTTTATATTTGCTTGTTTTATTTTATTTTTTTTTTTTCATTCATTCTTCATTTGAATCACTTCTAATGATCACTCAACTAATAAAAACACAATAGACAATGCGTTGAAAAATGCTTTTATGGCTTGCATAAATTATTGGCAGTGACTTATTTACACGTGTGAAAACGATTACAAATTTAAATGCAGATGAGGATATATTTATTTGCAGCATAAAGCAGTTTATGTTTTTATGGCAATTGGTCAATAAATGATTTAGCAAATAAAAGGAAAAAATGATTGATGCAAAAATATTTCAAGTATGCAGAAGCATTATAAAAGGAAATCTGAAGATGGGAAGAAAATGTTATGGCGATAATTTTTGCAATAATTTCAACGTTGTTTGATGAAAGTGTGCAATTATTGGCTATACGTTTACTGAAATCTTGCGCGAAGACGAGCCCACGCGCGTGTATATCGCTTGGTACGATCGACAACGACCTCACGAGGTTCAGGACTCACGGGATTACCAATAGTTGATTTCCCGGAGTCGAGAAACCTCACTAATTGATTAAAGTCACGATCCCAATGCCACCCGGGAGACTCTCACAATATCATCTGTAATCTCGTTTTGTTCCTGTTTCTCGGTCTGTTCAATTTCTCCTATGAGTTGAATATGGATATATAAACCTTTTTTATCATGGCAGAATTAAAGAATAAAAGTCTTAAAAAAGCCAACTCGTCAGTTGTGTTTTGTTGTAGAAAATACTGCTGATTAATTTCATACATCACATTTAATCATGATAAAGATCCTATCTGATTGCTACTGCTAGAGTTTTTGTGCTGTTTATATTTGCATTTGTTAACGAATGATCTGAAAAAGTTTTTCAAACATTGTATTTTGAGAAACATTGTGTTCAATTCAATCATTCAGGTGATCTTATTTTTTGAAAGAAATTTATACAATGTTTCATTTAATTATATTCAATCAATACAGCAAGTAATAAATTTAAATTTCATCATAATCATCAATTAAACTAAAATAAAATATTTTTTTTTCATCCGAAAGAACTTTTGTTATTCATTGTATGATTGTCATTGTATATTAATTTAATAAATGATAATTTTATTAATAAATGGTCTCTTAAAAAGTATATGAAAAATTCGTGGAATGAATTTTTTTGTATTAAAGTGTTTCCCAGAATTTTCCAAAATATTTAAATTAAACGAGCCATCTTATTACGTCATTTCTTATCATTTCTATCTCATAATGTATAATTATAATAAATGTTGTATACACCAATAACATTCTCAATTGAGGCAAAAGAAAATAATAATGAACGGACACATATGTGCACACCAGACCGATTTGTTTGATAATGACTCCCTAAATGCGGGTCTTCGTCGATGAAATTAGGGTTATTTTCTTTCTTTCCTTATTCGCAGCCGCTTTGTATATTTCCTTTTATATCAATTTTTTCTTTTCAAACTCCTACATTTTTCCTCGGTCACTCATTACAACGCTTGTCGAAAGTTTGTGTCATTCATTCTTACATTCGAGTTATTTAATGATATCAAGTATGACGTTTATTTGTTTAACCCGAGGTAAAAAATAAATACCTCATGTTAAAAATAATAATAACAACAGCACAAAGAAGTTATAATTCATCTCAAAATGATAAGGATAAAAATGAAGCACAATAAAAAATGAAGTTAGATTTAGTGTAAGATTTAGAAGCCAATAATCGCCGGTTAAATTTCGTAGTCGTACGGGGGAAAATATCACGACGGACTAATCTCGAGCGCATCCTGTCTGCTGTAGCGGTTTGTATGGATAGCCAGGGGCCGGGTCCGTACGGAAGGAAGGGGCCTCCAGGTAAGGTCATGCACCCCGCTGACCTCGGACCACTGACTTCAGTCTCCCCACTCTGGCACTCAACGACAAGACCATCTTCTCTTTTGCTCTCATCTATATACATACACGCTACCTTTGCGAATACTCTCGGCTTCTTCTAACTTTTCTCTTTGCCTCCGCTTTCGATCCTGCGCCAAGTGGAGATCTTAACATGTATGCTGAAGGAAAGATCCTCTCGCGAGAGCCTCTCTTTGTCTAATCGCGACTTTGGTACGGCAAGCAGTCAGTTTATCTTGCCAGTAGAAAAAGCCTCTGGGTAGGAAAGGTCTCTAATTGTAAGTAGAAAAAGCTGCTTGCTCTCTTATGAGACATAGCCGAGGATAAAAAAGAAATTAATGAGAGGGAATATTTTTATCAGCATTTGCATAATTATCATGTGAATTATTACAATGCAAATGTTAATATCAAAAAATTTGTTGATAGAGCAATGATTTTTAGTGTTAATTAATATTTCGTTGGATGAAAAAGGATTATTTAAATGATAACGATTTGAATGTAAATATAAATAACGGAGTTTAATTGAAGAAACTTAAAATGTATGACTTCAAATCTTAGAATGTGTCAGTTTATCAATGACTAGAGGCACATATAAACATGTTAATTTAATGATAATTGTAAAAATTTGAGGAATCAAAGAATATATATATATATATATAACTGTAACGTGGTATGATGCTCGCGTGGGTCTGTGGTCATGCCGGTCGGTTGAAACGAAAACGACGAGGTGAGATTATTATCGCGCAACGCGAGAGGAAGAAGAATGCGAGAAAGAGAGATGAAAAAATCATAGCCAAGTGGAGCGAGTAAGAGAGAGTAAAAAAGCAAGAAGGAGGTAGAGAGGGAGAGGCGTGAGAACGTATCCACGGGCTGTTCCGCGGCACTGGGCCCCGCAATCCGCAATTAAATCTTTGCTCAACTACTATACCAGGCCCCGTGAAACATGTTCAGTCTTTGCCTTCTTTCTCTTTCTCATTGAACCTTCTTCTCCGTAATTTTCCCGTAAATTTTGCAGACCTACATAACTCTAGTAATTTATCCGTACGTTAAAAATTCAGAGTCCATCTTTTTATCATAAGACATTACACATTCTCTAAACATGGATAGAGAAATTGAGACAAAAAAAAATCAGTCACAAAAGGTCTGCAAAGATCACGTAAGGTTTTATTTAACAGTCACGACATTCAAGCAGGTGCCACAATCAAATAATCATTAAATTTTTTTAAATTGAATTGCCTTTTAAATATCGCAATGTCCATGTTTCTGTATCCATATAAGTCTCTATAGATAACTTAATAATCGTCCATAAAAAAAATTCTTTCATGATTAATTCAGATTCAATGAACCTGAAACTATCATTTAGTACCATCGTGAAATTAATTATGAGTTGGAAAAAATTATTTCATAATTAATTATTTGAATAAAAATGGATAAATAATTATTTTTTTGTTTTTTCCAATCACCAATAGATCATTAGGCTTCATTGTAAATGGATGATAAACTTTTTTTTATTGATAATTATTTAAGATGATGGTCCAAATGAAGAATTAACGCAATAGTATGATCATGAATATAATTTTTATTATGGAATATAAAGCTATAAAATTGATAAAAAGGGTCAGTACAATGCATACCTTCCCGGCGCATGCCCATCTTCAGGCACTTTTTTAGCCGGCAAAATTGACATTGGTTCCGATGGTGTTGGTCTATCGGGCAGTTACGGCTCCCTCGACACGAATACGTCAAATTCCTCCTCACACTCCTTTTGAAAAAACTTTTGCAGCCTGTAAGAATAAAAGAGATAAAAATAATATTATTACATCTTGTTCATCCATCTTGTTAGACTGCAACAGTCAGTAATCTGCAGTTTTTAAGTATAAAAGAAAGAAGAGAAAAAAGTTTGTGGAAAATTTGTCTAAATGGCAATCCCTTGGCGTAACGAAATACTTCGTGGTTTCTTTCCCTTCTACACTTGGCATGCATGCACGCACGAGGAATTCAGCGACTCACGCACAGGGAGAAAATGATTGTGCGAGAAAGTAAGGGAGAATCAAGTATGTACGAGGAGGAAGACTCGTTTCCGAGTGGCAGGACTGCCCTAAGAATCACAACCCCGACAAACTGGCGGCAGCAACAGCGGCTTGTTACACGCACGTAATTCAATCCCACGCGGCCGTAGAAATGACCCGCGAGCCACAGCTGCCTATCAGAAATATATGTCTACATGTGAACTTGGATATTTGATTGTTGTTCCTATAAGTTGTAGCCAAATAACCATCTTCATTATCTCGAAATAAATTGCCGTTTAAAAATTACATTTAAATGATGAGAAATATTTTACTGAGAGAAATACGTCATTTTCGAAAGGTGATTTTATTCAAGTCATTACAAATAAGGCTTGAAAAAAAATCAACATTAAGTAGCAGTGTAATTTTTTTCCATTCAAATCATTTACTATTTTTCTCATGCTTTTAAAATACTTGAAATGATTTCTTCAAAAATTTATTCTAAATAATTTATTGATAATTTAATTTAAAAAATGATTGATGAAATATTTGATTGTTAAATGAATTCTTTCTACAGAACAGCTTTGTATAATTAATTACAGTACAATTATTGTGATTAACGTTATCAAATAAATATGAAAGTTATGATTTACACATAAGTATTTTTACCAGCTTTAATGAACTCATTATTTTGCAATAAAAGCAATTATAGCTAAGCATTTAAACTAAATTTATTTGTATCATAATTCTGGGGAAATGAACGATTATGTTGTTTTAATAGCTTATTCGTAATGTCTAATAGATTTTTTCAAGTGTAAATAATTTTTGTAAAATAAATACTAATGAGTATAAATATCAAAAAAAATATTTATGCAAATTAAGGTGGTTATTAATGAATATATTTTTTTAGGTATCTTGACGGAATCACGTGTACCCACTGAAATCAAACATCAAAATGATTAACCCAAGTACTTCTTGATGATGAAAAATTTTTTAAATAAACTAAATACCCAACTATTTGTCTTATTTTTTTTCTCTCATGAATTATAACTACCAAAGTTGAGTGAAAAGACAGATAAAATTTTGATTTAATTACCGAATTTTTTTGATATTTTCAGGTAACTAATTAGCATAAAGACTGGGTGTATTAAAAGATATAAATGACTTGGAAATAAGAATACACTAATCGCAGGACATCTGTCCACGATAAGACTACAAGATTGTATCCTTGTGGCTTCTAACAAACCCAACATAAATTCAAACAATTCTCATTTTATCTGAGCAAGGTCCTTCCACTTCTTACGTGACTGGAGTACACAATTCGTCAGACCCAGCATGCGTTCTAATAACATCCAGTCCACCAGATCATGACTGCCAAGACCTCGAAGTGCGTGCAGTACAAGTTCTCTTTGTTAAATCATATCTAGTAATATCCAACGAGATACTACAGAGAGTTTTCTCTTGAAGGAAGCGAGGCTGAGCGCGCGCAAATGCATGCTCCGGTCAGTAATGTTTCGACTCGGCCGCGTAAAATTAATGACATTGTTATAATTAATTAGCGTCTCAGTGCACCTTGTAGAATATACAAGGGAGTAAGCATAGAAGAGGGAACTTCGTTAGCAGGATAATTGGTCACAGAGGATGCGCTTGCGGCGGCGCAACGGTGAAGCCTTCTCGCTTGGAGCAGCGCACAAGTAATTCTACGCCTGCCGCGTAAGTATTACGATCATCTCGTTTCATTGTGATAATACTTTGGGATCGAGTTCTGATGCTGATACCGATTAATACCACACGGTATTATTTTTAATTTACTCCTTTTTTCTATTAAAAAAAATTATACTCACTAACAAGCAACACAAGACAAATTACAGTTAAATATTTATGGACAATAAATGTTGAAAAACATTGGGGTTAAATGGTTTCAATCCAATTGATGGGCAAGACTTTACACCATAGGTCATAGTAGAAAAAATATATCATTGTTGTGAAATGATAAAAAAATTGCACCAACGTGATAAAACACGCAATGAGGTAATTAAGTCCTATCAACACCTATCTTGAGTCTAATTGCTTGTTCCCTTGATCCAAAGACCCGCAAGATGTGCACCCAGCAACAGAGTCAATTGTTGTGTTGTTCATCTTGCGTGCATTGCTCTTTATATTAAATCGACAGTCAAGTAGGATACTAGTGTTGATAATGTTAAGGACTCGAAGTTATATAAGGAGATTAGCGAATGTATATGTGAAAAAGTTTGAAATAAGATTAATAAAGATTATCCAAAGGAATAATATAATATGATCTCATTAGACCGATTAGTCCAGGAGGTCTGCGGGATGTCTGGCTTCTTCTTTTCCGTTGTGTGGATAAGAGTGAATGAGGAAGAGAAGTATTGTTAGGGTGGATGTAAACCCTCGTTAAGCTCTTCTTGTAAGTCATGTAAGAGTCGAGCTGTAAAATAGGGAATAGAAATATTCTTCATTAAGAAGAAACCTTCTATATAGCGATTTTGTTATAAGACTTTGCTGAATTATGTGCCTAGGGAAAATAATACTGTACAGTTAATATTAGCTTAATGTGCTCTTATTGTTTCTTTCATTCCAAGACTACTTCATTACTTCAAGTATTTAACTAACTTTTACTTTGTCAAGTTGTGCAATAAACTCTTACATCATTTTTTTTTCTGTCAAATTTAAATAAATTATTATAAATTGCAAGTATTTTGATTGAATTCATTTAAATGTAAAAAAATTAAATCATTTGAAAATGTTGAAAACTTTGAATTGTTTTACAAAAAAAAACATTTACAATTGTTTCATAAATTCCAGTTATTCATTTAATTCATAAGAATCTTTCGAATATATGTTAGATGATATCAGTGCTAGAATTTTCTGCAACAAATACTATGCTTGTTGTCATTTCCTTGAAAATAATTAAAAAATTATTGCTTTAATAATTGTCTGGTTTCTGTGTTATTATCTGATGGCTGAGTATAATTATTGAAAACAAAAATTTATCAAAAGAAAATTCTATCTTTCTCAATAAACAACATTGTTTTATATCAATTCAAAAATTAACACCAATTTAAACAGAATTCATTTAATTGTTTTATATAAAAAATTTAATTTAGAACATGGAAAATATTGATATAAATAAGACTAGCAAGAAATTAATTGTTTTGAGAATATTCAATGTCGAAGGAGTAGCACAATTTGTGAAGTTTATATATATATATATATATGAATCTGTGACAAATAATATCTTGCTTTATTAAACACTGGTTTACCAACATACTGTCTAATTACTATAATTAAGCAGCCATCACGAACATTCTTGAGTAGCCTATATGAGAATAAACACACATAGGTAGATACACAGAAATGTAAGTATACGTGGGTTCTATCCATCAAGCAGGATACCTACTTGAGTGGCATCGGCATGCATGAGCTTTAGTATATTCTTTATACACAAGTAGATATAAAGTAATAATTCAGGTGGGTATGTTGTGTTTATTAAGGACTTGATAATTTCTGTTTCCTTTTAAACTTCTTTGTTTGATGATAATAATGAGAACGAATGTCCAGCTGAGAAATGAAATGTAATGTTATGAATATTATAATAAACTAGATTTTGAATTCATAGGGATGTCTATATTCTCACGATACACTTACATGTCTTTAGCAAGAAAATTGTCACGGTCTATTAGTCAATTGGAATGAAATAGTTGCCATAGTATACAACAGAGATGGTGACATATTTATACTAATGCTAATGATCTAGATATATTTGAAAAATAATCAATGATAAAACTAGACAAAACAAGTTATCAAAATTTTTTACCAACACTTTAGGCTTGAAATAAATGAATAAATTATCTTGGGAATAATATCAATTCATCATCAATCAAATAATTGCTTTGTTGAGAAGAAAACATGAAATTAAATGACTAAAAAAATTCTCATGCCAACAAATTTCAAAGGTATAATGAAATATTGACTAGATGATGTGTCAATGGAGTGACGATGCAGTGGAATACAATGCTTTAAAGTATCATTCATGAGCCAGTAAAAAAAAACATGAATTTCATCTGAACAGAGTTAATATTAGGATCTTTTTGATGTGTCCTCATCAATTTCTACAGTTCTTATCTTTATCATCAGGAATGTGATCAACTCACAGAATGTTTGTAGATATTTCTCTTGTAGTCATTTTTATATTTCTTTGGATTATTTAATCGTGAGTATATTTTCCTTTGTAACTGTCAAGACATTGAACCATAATCGATTAATAATAAATCATTAAAGACGATCATGCTTGGTGGAGATTTTAAAGGCTATTATCTTATATTGTAAAAGTTGAAAGAATTGTAAAACCCAAATTCTCTCACATGATCTACCACACAAACCATATATCTAACATACGGTGCTTGTACGTAGTCTAGCTACTCGAAATGGGTGGTGCTGGTCTTCTTGTAATCGCCAGATTAATGTTCTCTTCCTGCGTAAGGAGGATAGTAAGTGCAGAACAGTCTTACAGGAAAAGTCATGATCGTAAATTGAAAGATTAAGTGGTACGATTGGTATGGTTTGGATGTCTCGTCTGACGTCTAGTGTCTACAAGACTAGATGAACCAGCTGAATGATGAAAAAGACAAAGATGAAAAAAATTCAAGACTAATTTCTTATATAAATAAAGTGTAGAATAAATCAAGTATTAAAGCCTGTTTATATATAAAATTAATTCAAGACTTTACAGGAAAGAAGACCAGTTTTCCAAGATGGGCCATCAAATATTTCCCATCAGAATTGCCATCAGCATAATGGGACCCACCGGGCAAACGTTGGCCGGTTCTGGAATCAGGCCCCACATCAGACGCGTGAGACCCCATATGACCCTCACCCAGGAACTCATTAATCATTATATTTTCGCGCTGCTGCTTACTTTCTAGTTGATGGATATAAAGTATGACCGTTGGTCATTTTTGCAACATAACCAGTGTTCAAACACTACCATCGTTTTTATTAAGGTATAACCGGTGTGATAACTACACATTAAAACAGGATTGACCATCAGCGATTACTCGGTTAGCTTAACTATATCAATATTTTTCATTAAACTATTTTTTCAAACTCAGCAAATAATTAAACACTTTCAACCACTTAATTACCAAGTAATTTCATTCCAGGTCTTTAATTATTAAACATTATATGCTAATATTTATTGAAATTTGATAATTATTCTAGGAATTTTAATATCAAATTAGAATGTAACGAAATAAGATTGACTCTAGTTCTGATGCACATTTTAATTGATTTTAATATTTTTTATTGAGCACAACTGGCGCTTACATTCTGAATATGCACAGCCATTTGTGTTCATTGTCATCACTTTTATTAGTTAAAATTACATTGAGCCTTCATTGACGAAGTAATCGAGGAGATTGTCGGCAATCACTTTATAACGTGGACGGATTGATTTTTGTGTCAAGCGATGTCAAATGGCTGAAAATTATTGTCAATTTATCAAGCAATCTTGTGATGTGGTTGATGAAAAGATGGCCCAGATTGTTAGAATAGTAAGTAAATATTACAAAGATAAATATAAGCAACTACTTTGCAGAAAAAATAGTAAATCTGTTAAGAATAACCTATCACAGTGTACATCAGCACATTGATATTTAATCACCGTGATGACTCATGGGAATGAATGGAATTCCATTCTTAATATTAAAAGTTATCTTATTTACGCACATATTATTTATTATTACTCATATTTTATTAAAGCTAAAATTGACGCTTATAAATAAAGATTTTCAGCTACTGCCTTGAATAATTATCTCTATTAATGCTTCTAATGCACTTTACAGATGAATAATGAATAAATTAAATGCTGTTAAATATTCAATAAATGAAATGAGTTTGCAATCACAGAAAGAAAAATAGGTTTTATCGAATCCTCTTAGGGAAAGTTGTGTTGAAGTTGTTAGTAAGATTGTCGTGAAGAGGATAAATAGACTAGAGAAAATATATAGGCGGTAACTTCTCATTTAACACTCTTGTTCTCAGTAGACTGTAGTGTTTCTTTAGTATATATTTTGATTAATCGTTGATCCGTCGTCAAAGTCGGGACATTCATAGAATTGTCGTTTCTACCAGACAATTACTTTTCATTAGCAATGGACCCTTGTCTCAGTCACACTTGAATAATGAAATAAGTATTGTGGATAAGAAGATAAGTAGGACGTATCGAAAATGTGCATCAACATTACAGCTATTAAGAACCAATTGACCATCAAGATTTTTTAAAGCATGGAAAAGCATAGCTGATATGCTGAAGGAAGGAAAGTCACGAGCATCAATGATTGTAATTGCACGGATGGCAACCACACGTGTGCCAAGTTTATATCAACGTGACTTAACGCGATACATTATATGTATATACTCAGGACAGATATGCAAGGAAGCCAGAAGTGGTGGGCGTCCCGTTTATAGCCGGTCCCTTCGCGCTTCGTTTCCCGGCCCGTTACATCGTTATTAGCTTCCTAACGGACGTGTAAGCATCCCAGGGAACACACCCCACTGAGTTATTAATGATAACTCATTGTTTTTTTTTTCCCCTTTTTTTTGAACCCTCACTACGGTGTCTTGTACTTCGCGCCTAGTATGAATGTTCTCGAGTCTCCCAATCAGTAGGACTTAGACAAATTGCCCTTGCTAAAATACGATGGTTTATTATATTTTAGTTTAAATTATATACTCGAGATAATCAAATTTTATGTTGCGATAAATCTGGTCCTCAGTTATTTTTTTAATTTTGTCTTTTATTTTTCAAATTTTAATAGATTCCAGTCTAGGATTGGAATGCTAACAAGTATTTGGAGTTTTTGGAGTCAGACTGTATTAAAGATTTAGAAAGTTTGAGTTGACTTAAAAAAGAATTTTCTTCTAAATTTATCAGTAAATAAATAAATGACGTATCCTCTTGTATTCAAAAATTTGATAAAATTTTAAAAAAACATCATTTTCAATGATGTATAATTCAAATAAACTAAACTATATAATAAAGATGTTGATCATTTTTCCTGAGCAATCAAACGAAAATTTAATTGAATCATTGTATGATAAACAAGAGTTATGTTTGATGTTGCTGTACACTGATATTTTTTTTTAAATCACTTGGAATAAAATATCCTCGCAAATCAACAAACGAAAAAAGTAACTTGAAAACCTAAAAAATCGTAAAACAAACTCACCTTCACAAGTAAATTGGCCATAGTGTTTGCCGCTGCTCTTGTCTCCACAAACGACGCATTCAATATTGGGCGATTTGTCGGTTTGGGAACTGCCAGATTGCGAGCTGTTAGCTTGACTCCCAGGGGTCGTGCTAGGTGGTAGAGGATCCCGCGGTGTTAATACACCACCTACAGGTACTAGACACGTTATATCCTCAGGCGTAGCCGAAGGGGTAAGGTGTGTTGGTGGCATTGGAGGTGGACATACTTGAAGTGGTCCTGGATTACCACCACCTGGAGCTTGATTAGTTCCACCGCCACCACCTCCCAAGCTCGTGGATCCAGGGTCCCGCGAGGTCCACGAGGGTGGCGGGGCCACCAACGCCATTGAGGCGGTGGTGCCGCGTGGCGGGAACCCCAGCTCCAACGTGCCGGTGAGCTCGGGGTGATGATGTCCCGCTGGCACACGACCAGGGAACAAGCTCGCCGTCGCAGGCGGATAAACCACCCCGGCAGTCGCCAGGGCGTCCGCACCTCCCGACCCTCCGCGAACCACCCTGACTTCCTTATCTGGCACTTCTGTTTAAATGAACCGCTCAACGCGTTGATCTCTTACCAGGCCACGTGCTATTCGTTGTCCAAGTCAATCTTAAAATACAAATACGACGGCAACTTTTGGTTGTTTTATATTATTTGCACTTCACTTTATTGCAAGAGTTTAAGTTTTTTTTATGCTGAAGTAAGTTAAACACAAACAGAATAGGATATCCTTGAAAGATGTTGACGATGATGAAGTAGGTGTGTTTTGAAGTTACTGGCAATGTGGTAAGTCGTGAGCAATGATGATGTCGATGATCGCGTCGACATACTGTTATCGTAGAATGTAATCTTCCTTATTTCAAAGGAAGAATAAAAATCGGGCGCGCGCACAAGGGCGCGCGTCCGTAGACACTGTACACTTGTTTAATATCCTAAAATGCAGAGTTCGAAGTACAAATACCGGATCTACAATAATTATCTATCAAAGTAAAAAAAATTAAATCACTTCACTGCTAATTAATTCACACACTTTTATTTTTTGACTCGATAAATCTCCTTTTGTTGTAATCTCAAATGATTATAATCACGGGACCTTTATTTCTAAATGAAATAAATTCAATTCAGTAGTCAATCGTTTTTCTTTACCCGGTTAACCTTCCACCTCGTTATTTTTATTACAATCTAAGCTACACGGCGGGGGAACTGTACGTCGAGGTGTTCGCGATACGTTAAAGAGCGTCGACGTAAAATTAAAAATGATCCAAGTTGATGACTGATAAACTTAGGAGGGTTTGCGGGTTGTCTTGAGTAGTCTGTTGTTCTTTTTCTCGGTCGTGCTCTCGAAGAGATCGGTAAGAAAAGCCAAAGATCCCCGACACAAAGTCACAACTATTCTTGAGGCCGACCAGAGACCGACTGCCGACTGAAGCGACCCCTGACACCGACCTAGGTGCTCCCACCACGTCGGCCCGACGACCTCGCGCGGTCTCTCGCGGTTCGCCAGTTGCCATGACTACAGAGGGTTGGGTCGAGTACAGGGCGCGCCCCGGTGCTCTTCTCATTGGCTACAGCACTGGCCTACCCCTCCTCCTGCGACACCGTCAACACTATCCATGCCAGAGAAGTAACCACTTGGTACTCACTTCGACCTCTCTCCTTCTCTTATGTTTGCCTTTACTTCTTTCTTCCTCGCGAAATCCTCAATCCCAAGATGTTGCCGTCTTTATCTCGCGCACGCGCGACCTCTCATATATACTCGCGGGATTCTTCGAACGTCGATAAAACCATTGATTTAAATATCCTTTGATGATTTTGATACCAAATACTGCCTCGAGATATTTTTGGCAACCACCAAATGTTGATAAAACCGACTGATAAGATACTTGGCAAGTGTATTATGTCTGAGATTCATTATCGCAAAGTCAATCAAGTATCTAAGGGTTGTTAACGGCCAAGTCAAAGTGAGAATGACAACCAATGAGGTGGTGAATCAAGCAAAGCGCAAAAAATGGGCAGAGCTAGGTGCTGTATAGACATACATTGCTATCTCTTTTTCTTTTTATTACATTCCAATGGTTTTTCTCATGCTCTCCTTCTCTACACCACGACTAAGATGAAACTAGTAAGGGTGAAAAGTAGTGGAGGGGTTGCCTCGAGGGTTCAAAACGCGCTCCGATTGCCGCATAAGGTCAGTTGGGTCGTAGCCCTGCACCCTTACACCAACTTATATCCTGTGATATTTTTACTCGTCTTTTTTTTACTCCAAAGAATACCAGCTTTCATAACATTGTTTAAAAATGATTTGTTAAATTTTTTTCCACTATAAAAATTTGTTACGAGGGTAGAGTGACCTGTTGTTAAGATGAAGAGATGACATATAGATGAGAGAGACTGTAAATAACCTATGATATGTCACTTGGCACTCGAAGTTTTGAACCAGACTCAATTATTTGCCCTTTGACTGAAAGCCGTCCTGATAAAAGTCAACGTTGACGTCGAGGGTCAAATTTAGGCTTTCGATCGTTAATGTCTCGATATAACTCGACTGATATACAAAAAAGCCTACTACTTGAACACATAAATATTCGTTATTAAAAAGTGAAGGAAAAAAGGATGAATCTGATGAATGTATTGGAAATAAAAGAGATATAGACATAAGAGTTGATTGGGGGTGAGTCGAGGTAATAGCGTGGTTAGCCGCGGAGGGGTGGCCCAATAGAGAGTATACGATGCGCAGAATACAGAACGCAATGTATATAAGGGTTGTGTGCTCAACTTCCCCTTTTACCTCAAAACCACCCTCGACCGTCTGACTGTGACTACACGTTACTCCACGTAGGGACAAGTGTATCGGTGAAGGGCTGTTTGAACAATGCCTATTCGTTCAATGCGCTCTAGATATGATTACCGGAAACCATCCCATAATTACTTTTTGTACCTCGGGACAAGCCTACCCTTTACTCCCCACCCCCTCGAAAATCTAAACTCCACTCAAATTTACCTCTCTTACTTGCCCATTCAACTTTTTCTTCATCAATTTTTTCTCTACATATAACATAGAAAATCAATTGCTTTGTTGATAAATGTTTTCAACTCATGTTAAAATATTTTGTGGATTTCAAAATCAATTGATGATCTATGTTTTGAAGTAATTAATGCTTGATGAGAATAAATTAATTATTTTTGGTATTATTAATATGCAAAAATGTAATAAAAAAGCTCTTTCTGTGCTCTTATCTTCTTTGAGGCCGGTTCTATTCTTAAAGTCTTTTTGTTCGTATTTTTATGACTGTTAATGCCACAAAATTAACTCCCGAACGAAGAAAGTAGGGTAAAATCAAGAGAAAAAATACACAACCTGCTTTACATTTTAAACAATTCAATTGTTCTACATATAATCATATTTTATTAAATTAATTATTTTTATTATAAATTTAAAAACAAACAGAATCATTGTACAAGTACTTTCTATTGATATCAAAATAAATATCTAATGAATTCTTGAAAATTTTAATATTTTGTATGGCTATGCAAGGAGTTCTTAATCTGAATGATGAATTTGAGTAATGAAAAAAAAAGAGGCAATCATTGTCAGATCTATCTTTATTAATTAAGTAACGCAAGTACCTTAATAAGTTTTTTTTTATTATCTTTTATATTACTTGTCCCCTTGTGCTTTTCTTCAATACTTTCGTAAATTTCACTTTTTATCTTGTTATCATCAAAACGAAAGTTTTTGAGGGTCGTGTAACCGCGTCGACGATCTCACTTTGGAGGTAGACGGTTACTCCTTTGATACTTTTTAGGTAGTCATTATCAAATTATAAAAAGTACTTTTTAAAGTCCCGGAGATAAAGAATTTTTTTTTTTTGGTCAAAGACAAAGGTACTACAAAATAGCTTTTTAAGTACATAAATAATATTGATAATAATTACTTATAAATTGGAATAATTTATTTTCATTCATCTTAAAATTAACAAATTAAAATTACTAAAAATGATTCATTCATCTTTGATGAATAGAAAATACAGAATAAATTATAAATAAAATATTATATGAAGTAAAAACTTGTTACTTCACCCTACTTAAAAAATTATTTTTTTATTAATTGTTGCTCATAATGAGTTAATTAAAATAATTCTTTACATCTTTTTACTTATACGACAAAATGAGATATTTACAAAGGGATTGAGGAAAAAAACAAGAATAACCATACTACAAGAAGGATATATAGTTTTTCTTGTAGTCTCACTCATGATCATCCTTGTAGTCTTACTTGTAGTTTCATTCGTGATCAGCTCTTCATCCTTCTTAATGACTACATCTTTTTTTCCAAATAAAAATAAGTATTTATCTTTTAATTAATAACCTTGATAAGAAAACAACCCTAAAATAATAATCCTTGAAGCAATTAAATTTTTTTTGTTTCTAGAACGTTAATAAAAAATGTTAATCATGAATGTTTTTTTTGTAATTTTTAATTTACTGTTGCTTTCATCAATAAAAAAGGGATAAAAATATTTCTGATTGAATCAAATCAATCTCTAGGTTAAAAAAAAAATGTTTCTAAATAAATAAAAATAATTCAGTCCTTTTTTAAAAGAGAATTCATACAAAAGCATCATAAAAATTAGGCATCAATAAGTATAATATCAGAAAAATCTTATGTGATATATTATGTATATTGAAATATAACCGAAGAACGAGGTCATAGGTGAAGCTTTGTTCTCGAATTAAAGCAAAAATCGGATCGTCTTGAATGAAGAGAGGAAATATAAGCCAAATAAAATGAAGCAGCATAAGGGAAGCATTTGCATAGGGAAAGAGCATAATACTTTAGGTAGTAGATCAGTTTGCAGGGACAATGTACAAGGATAGGTAAATGGATCCTAGGATATGACTATTCCTCTAAATCATACATTCATGATGGTTAGTCATAGAAATACCACTAGATACCACCTATACCTACAGCCTATATGGTCAGTTGTCCGGTGTAGTGTCCTGTAGAGGAGGGCCAGCACCAATGTGATCACCTGTCCCTACACGATTAGTCGGGGTCAAGATTACTGCTGCAACGAGCTAGAGTCCCACGGAAGGATCTCCCTTCTACCTCGAGTTTACGATAAATTAATGGTTTTTGACGGTGAGACAGACCCTACTCTCTTTGCACATACTACTCCATCACGTATGCACAATTCACATACGTGAAAATTCAAATCCTAAGTCCTGAGTTTGCATAGAAATGCTTTTCTTAACGTTATTTATTACTTTGTACCGCTCTGCTGAATACTTTAAATACTCGGTATATCCATAACGGTCGCGTTTATTTTTGAATAAATATACAAATAATTTTTATTGATAAAAAAATCCAAGTTCATTGGAGTATAAAATACTGAAATGATAAAAAATTGACCAGATTATGAATTAAAGAATTATAATTTAATTAAAACAAATAGATTATTTGCTGAAAGATAAATTAATCAAAAGTTTTCAAATACTTTTTTAGAAAAATTTTATGTTAGAAAAAGCAATTTTAAATAACATGTAAAGATTATTTTTTGTAGCAATTTTGGACAATGACAGCGGATCATAGATGTTATGATTCTTTAAACGAGTGGAATAATTCTAGTTTGTGTTAAATTGTACCTATTATATGTCTTTAAGGAAGAAAAATGATTTTCGCTAGTCTGATCAACAAAGAATGGTTCCAACATTAAGGTGAAATCACTAATGATCCACGCAATGGATTGAAACCTTCAGAGATCCACCGAGCTATATGTCAGCAGTTGACTTTGGGTGAATGGAGACAAATAATCAGAAAGGAAAAAACGGAATCCAAAAGCATACGCATTATATTATGCTGCTGACCTTTAGATGTAAACTGTTAATGGTCTTTTATGTTTGACAAAAATGAAAAAAAAATAATACGTAAAACCTCAATTTCTCTACGAAAACTCCATCGATCTTCTAAACCATCCCCACGTGTGTAAATAAAATTTAATATAATTTGTCATTCGACTCTTTTTTGTTATTAAAACTATTTTTGAACGACGCAAGATAACAGAGTCGATAAAAACTACTTAAGTCATCCATCAGACCATCAACAGAATGAGTTTGAGATCAACATACCTCAACTATTTCCATTCAATTTCTTAACATTATCTTAAGAGGCACTTTTATAATCTCATGTAAACCATAACTGACTAATCATTAATCGCAGACACAGAGCAACATACTCTCAAGTAAAAGTAGTATGGCACGTGCCTGTTACCAACCAGTCCCACCAGAGTTAAGTCTTCACATAATACACGTCACACTCGTGAAAGGGTACAGGACAAAAGATAGTAAACGACTTACTTTTTGCACTGATGACTGCATTGATGAGATTTGTGAGATTCTAGTG